AAAATTGCTTTTGTAACTATCCCATGAACTATACTTGGGGAGAAATATAGATAATCTCCAATGTAACTCTCATAACTTGATTAGAGTAGTGACCAGTCCAGAATCATGTTAACAAACAACATATAGTACCTGTCAAAAGTAACTAAAAACCTCCCCTCTAAACACACAGCCAACTTCAAACACTTCGAATCCCATTTGAAAACCCAGAAAACCACGAGCCTCCATGCCCGTACATTTGCATATTTCAAGATTCTACCGCGAAAAATTTCAATATCCAAACTCCTAAAAACCGGGACTACACAAAACGGTATGCTTCTCCATACCTGCTCCTGAAATTATAAGGATCGTACCTTCTCCATACCTACACAAAACCGGGACTACACAAAGCGGTTTGAGAGTAGTTCGGGAGGCACAAATGATGACCAACATCTTTGAGAATGCTTGGCGTGCTGCAGCCATTCACACGAGGATTTTAGACTAAAACTTTCACTGCATACCAAAACTTCAAAAGCATCGCCTCTTCTTAAACACTACTGATTCATTTGAGACAATATCAACTTAATAGACATAATATATGTAGAGAGATGCAGCAGCTGAACTGCAATAATTGTCTATAAACATGTGTAATGAGCCCTTTATGGTAAAAGCTTATTTTGTTAACAACCAGTGTAAAAATTGGACATGAACTTCACTGATCATTACAACTAATGATAAATTTTTACTGTATTTTTAGACTAAATTTAGGTCACGCCGTGCACGCTAGTGTATGTGTATATATATATATCTTCGTAAATAAAAAAATGGTGTAAGTAAGGATTCAAGCCTAACTTACAAAGGCTGTCTTAACTTCTATATGACTTTAACTTTCAATGACTTTCATGGTTTTAGGGATGTATTTTTAACTTCTATGTGTTAGACGTGTTAGTGCGTCGTGTTAATATATATATTTTTTTTAAAATAAATTTTTTTTTTTAAAATAAAAATCTTATGATCGTATTTTATTTTTGATTTTGTTTAGTATTGTTAAGTATGATTGACTGATTTACGTATCATATTTTTATGTTATCATGATATTAAATACTAAAGGTATTTACGAAGTACTCTTTATATTATATAATCTAATATTTATTACATATATTGTATATATAATATATAATACAATTTGTTTATCGATTAATTTAATTATGATCATATCTTTTGGATTTTTCGACTTGTAGAACATGAATCAAAAAATACTCCACAAACATGATGTTATTAATTTATTTATTTATTATGAAGAATGTTTGTGTGATTCATCGTGTATGTTTTTAAAACATTTTATATTTAATTTCACTATTATTAGACTTAATTTGTATGTTGTAGAAAATGAAATAAAAAATATTCTACAAACATGTTGTTATTTATTTATTATGAAGTATGTTTGTGTGTTATTCATTGCGTTTGCTTTTAAAATATTTTATATCTAATTTCACTACCATTAGATCTAATTTTTATGTACAAAATTTAAGATAAAATTTTTTATAAAATTCAGGCAAGAAGCATATAAACACTTATAATTATTTTAATTTGTGAAGTATAAATTATGAAAATTATATAAATAATTTAAACTAAAATATTTAATAAAAAATAAAGAAAAATTCTATGAATTTCTGTCAAATACAAATCTTTTTCTTGGTGAGGAAAGAAATGAAAAATAGTAACCTGCTATTTCAAATCTTATCTGAATAAGTTAGGTATGCGCTGACAAATATGTTATCTTATCTGAATAAGTTAGGTATCTGAATAAGTTAGGTATGCGCTGACAAATATGTTCATGTTAGAGAAAGACTTGTACCCAGAGAAATTTTAGGAAAAAGTAATTAGCTGGTTACTCGATGTGAGTACACAGAGAAATTCCAGGAGAAAGTAATTGGCTGGTTACTCGATGTGAGTAGAGTAGGGATTGAATTTGATTGTGTGTTCATGTTAGAGAAAACTTGTACGCAGATAAATTTGAGGAGAAACTAATTGGCTGGTTACTTTGAATTTGATTGTTTTGGGAAAGGTTTTGGAATATAAAAGGACATTTTTTTTTTAATTATATATAATGCTTTTTTTTTTTNAAGAAATATAGATAATTTCCAATGTAACTGTCATAACTTGTAGTGACCAGTCCACAATCATGTTAACAAACAACATATTGTACCTGTCAAAAGTAACGAAAATCTCCCCTCTAAAAAAAATAAAAAACATACAGTCAACTTCAAACACTTGGAAGAACCCCATTCGAAAACCCGGAAAACCACGAGCCTCCATGCCCGTACATTTGCATATTTCAAGATTCTACCGCGAAAATTTCATTATCCAAACTCCTAAAAACCAGGACTACACAAAACGGTATGCTTCTCCATACCTGCTCCTGAAATTATAAGGATCGTATATCGTATTTTCATACTCGGGTCCCTCAACTTCTGCTGCAGGCCTTGTCTCCATTGTTTCCCCACTCTTCTCCTTCGAACGGTGCTTAGCTCGTTCTTTATGGCTTTTCGACCTCACATGACCATACTGAGGAGCCTCACTCGAACCATAAAACTCAGCAAATTCGTGTCGTCTAGAGGATGATCTGTGCTTGGTCGACAAAGCAGGGTCTTTGGCACTTGATGATCTGATCTTAACAGGCTTCACCTCCGAAAATCGTTCGTTCGGGCTCGGCACTGACGGGCCTTGGGCCTGCCGGGCTTCGGAGATAGGGATTGGGGCCTGCTGCTTTAAAGGGAAAGAAGAAGGCCCGGGTTCATCCTCGGGCATGACGAGCGAGTCTTTGAGTGGGGTAAGGCCACGTTTGGGGATATTCCTTAGGGGATGGAAATGGAAAAAGATGCTGCCTAATGATTCAAAAGCTAGCTTGCCGAGGTCCCAGACGAGCTGCCCAAACGAGGGCCATCCGGCTTCAGGCCCGTCTTTGGGAGAGGATTGGTCCTCGGGCTTTGGCCACGGATGGTTCTTCTGCTATTTGACGAATAATGGAATATTTAGACGAGCGTTCATGTATTTTTATGTTAAGAAAGATCAATTTTTTTGAAAGTAAAGCTGACAATTAGAAATGGAAAACTAGTTCCTTAGAATCATTCTATTAAACCTGCAAAAAAAGCGTATCTTTTGAAAATGCAAGCTCGTACCCCCTTTGATACTTGAAAATATAACAGAAACATACGCCGATGAGGTATTTGTAATTTTGAAAATATTGAGGTTTTATCTATTAGAAAGAACTTTCACAAACCACTAGTAAAATTTGAAATTGCTCCTTTTCGTTCTAGATTACTACAATTAGGGAAAAGATAATAGAGTTAGTGAATGTACATACTTTCTTGGAGAAGAGAGTTAGTGAATGTACATACTTTCTTGGAGAAGAGCGAGGAACCAAATCCTTGTTGGAGAATGCCCGAAGCATAGCCTATTAAGATAGCCCCAGCAACCATAAGAAGATCTGCATAAACAAAGAGATATATTTTATGCAGTCAAGTGATTGCAAGTTTATTATTTATTCGAATACGTAATGCAAAATTTACTAAGTCACAGACTTAACAGGTAGCTGGCTCTGGTCATTTACGAAGCGATCAAAGCTTCAATCTACTTCTACTATTTTTTAACACCTCATGTTTGGTTTTGTTTGAATTTTACAATATAGCAGGAAAATACAACAAAAATGCTGAACTTGAAAGAACCTGTATAATCACAAAAGGTTTAGAGATAAAGCCACAAACCAGTAGGCGAAACAGAGCTGTTCTCATAACCACAATCCTCTTTACTTAGAGAAATTTGACGTAGGGCCGCATTGCCCCTATCGATAACTAACAACGAACATGTGGACCTCACATATATCACATCAAAATCGTTCGAGAATTTTGCATCTTCGCTCGGCCCATCCCTATACCCAGCAACGCTTGACTTTCCACCAGCAATAGTTGTCACGCCTGTAATAAATTTTTCCAGTTACTAAAATTGTTAATCTCAGAATCGTGAAATTCCACAGTATTGGCACACATTGGTTTCTGCCAGATTGATATATACAGCACATTGCATAAGGTTTAGCCTAATTATGAAAAGGCCACCATTTTATCATTCAAGAACGACAAATACCCACCCACAGTATATTTACCTAAAAATACCCTGAGTGTAGTTTGTAGAATAGAAGCAAATGCCAAAGGGGTACTCCTAATACTGACAGATATCTGGGATTTTCTTGTAATTAGACTATAACTCAAAGGGTACTTTCTGTAATCAACTCTTTATAAGTAAAAGTATCTAATAATAATGGATCAAATTGCAAACCTGCTTCCCCAATCTTTCTAATGGCAAGATTTGATGTATCAGCAACATAGACATTCCCCCTATCATCCATGGTGACTCCCTTGGGATGATTAAAACGAGCATCACTCGGTTTTCCATCCACGTGGCCAGTGTAGCCCTGAAATGACCCAGCTACCAATCTTGCCCTGCTATCTGCAAAAGGTGACAATTTGGCCCATGAGCCACGAGGCCAAGTTTCAGTTAAGTCGCACACATCTAAAACAACTTATAGGCTTCTAACTGCATACTCAAATATTAACAGAGACACATATCATCTAGACACTACGAACATGTGCAGAATTAAATTTGCAGCAATTTGACAAGTCCGATGAGTCAAATGGCCATGGCCCATGGGTCATTCAATCTTTTTAACGAAATCATATATCCAATTTTTATCTACTTCAGAATCCTATCGCAATATATAACATGGCTACTTCTAAAAAAAAATAGGCAATTCGGAAAGCTTACATTGCGAAAGTGGGGGCGTAATTCGAACAATTTTGCTATTAATGGCATCAACAGCAAAAAGTTCTCCATCATGCGAGACGCGGATTGAATATGGCTCGACTCCAAGTTCACTCCCTTCAACAACAGTCTCGACTAGATATCCCTCTTCAAATTGGAGCACATTCCCATCTGCATAAGGTGTAACCAATAAATAAACCACATAAAACCGGATGCTGAAAAAATGGAAACCATGTTCTTATCGAATGAAACAAGATTCTAAAACTTCCCAGCTTGAGCTCCATCTTACCCAACTACGACACAAATTGTTTTATCCCAGCAGAGTACATAATAAGGAGCAGAAATGTCCAAAACTTACTAACTTATTTTTCCCCGCACACACACACACACATACACACACACACGCACACACAGAAGGAAAGACATATCAGTAAACCTACATCTACAAGGTAATTAGAAAGAAAATTCAGCAATGCGAGTTATACCTGACTGATGGGGTGTTTTGGAGGAGGACCTAGTCCATTTCACAAAGGAGGACAAGTGCTTTATCAACGGCCCTGAATTTCATTTACACAGTATAATTAATATAATGAAATAAACAGATTGAACAAGTCGAGTGGATAAACTTCCACCAATAGAAAAAGATAATGAAGCAAACCCAATTGCAGAGGCAGCTAAAATAATCAGGCATTGCAGAAAATCTAAGCTATTCTCGAGTAATTTCTAAAGTTTCAGCACACGAGAAAAATTCTAGCTGCAAAAAGCAAATTAAAACAAGAAAAGAGCAAAAAGAGTACTAAATTACCAGCAGGCGCAGCTTGAGCTTGAAAATTAAACACAAAGTAGTTTAAGGGGACCAGCAGAACGAGAAAGAAGACAACGGACCTCATCGCCTTTTTCCCCCAAAAAAGCTAAAAAAAAGCTCAGAGAAAGAGCTCTTTTGGTGTGTGTCTGTGTGTGAGTGTGTGTGGATCAGTAAAGTAAAAATGAAGTCAAGGACTCGTGAGGGAGACGAAGTTGTTTCGTACAGATTGAACATGAAAAATGTAGTGAACAGCCATGGATTCAAGCACTGATTGAAATTGGCTTTTGAAATCAGGGAGTCTCACAAAAGCTCCAGTTTAATTCATTTTATTATTTCCATTTTTGTATTAATGTTAAATAAGATTTGTGAATTCCAGCTTGTTTGCAAACCAAGTTCTATTTAGGGAAAAAAAAATATTTACATTTATTCAACAAGCACCAACTCAATTTTTTTTTTTTTTTTCTNTATTATTTCGCTCATTTTATAGTTTATCTTTTTTCTTTGTTGGATCAATTGTACAGAGTGCATATTTCAAAGTTATGGTTTACTGTGCGTGCGTGCGAACAAGACGCAATAATGTACCTCTTACCAACAAAAAAGTATAAGTACAGTATTTTATGTCAAAGTGGACTTCCCTCTTTTATTCTATAAGCATCTCTTATAGGAGGTTTTGGAACAGGTTTGTAATTTTAAACCTGTAGGTTTTCCATTAGAATAGTGAGGTTTGAGGTTTGATAATTCAAACCGGAAGTTCACGGGTTTGTCTTTCCAAACCTCCCTTAAACCTCCTATATATTCATTACTTAAAATAATAAATAAGTTCAAATACAAAAAATTGCATCACACGTGAAGCCACTACAATTGTTTTGATCTGCGTGAAACACACGGAGAAAAAGAGGCGTGAGGGACTTTGGCCCACATCCATCAAGCCCATATGGGGATGGCACCCACAGTCCCACTTTTTTTTTTTTTTTTTTTTTTTTTTTNATTAATGAATAAAAAAAATTAAAATGTAGTATGTATTTTGTGTTTCGGGCTCGTTTGAGCTCGTCTGAACTCGGAATTGAGTTCCGTTTTTTCCTATACGTAGCTAACGAACTCCTCTATTCAATGATGCTTGCATGACCAAATTATTCTTGAAATCATATTCTCCCAAAGCTCTTGACTGATACATTAAACGTGTTTCGCGCGACTTTGCTTTTTGGGCCTGTTCGGACTCGTCCAAGCTCGAAATTGATTTTCGCTTCTTCCTATATGTCGCCAATGAACCCTTCTACACAACCATGATTGGACAGTCAATTTTCGGGCTAGTTCTGTTCCTCACGGGCTAAATAATTAACAAATCACCCATTATATAAATAGATGGTCCATGGATGATTTGTTAATTATTTAACCCCGTGAGGAATAGATTTAACCCGAAAATTTACGGACAATCATGGTTGTGTATACGGGTTCATTGGCGACATATAGGAAGAAACGAAACTCAATTACGAGTTTGGACGAGTCTGAACGGGCCCAAAAAGCAAAGTCGCGCGAAACACGTTTAATGTGTAGGTCAAGAGTTTTGGGAGAATATAATTTCAATAATAATTTGGTCATTCAAGCATCATTGAATAGAGGGGTTCGTTAGCTACGTATAAGAAAAAACAGAACTCAATTACGAGTTCAGACGAGCCCAAACGAGCCCGAAACACAAAATACATACTACATTTTAATTTTTTTTATTCATTAATTTTGAAATATAAAACGTATTATCAAAATATGCTTTAGTTCTAAATTATTTGTAAAACATATAACTAAAATATGTTTTAGTAATATTTGGAATGAACCTAGTTGAGCATATTTGGAATGAACCTAATTAACAAGAGTAATAATTTAGTTAATCTATATTTTATTTCATCGAAACTTCCGCGTGCAATAATATGTATTTTTTTCTTTATTTGAAATTGTAAAAGTACCTCAATTTTTTTTTGCGTTTGTTCTAATTTGATAAAGCTCATTTTCACTTGTTTTTATTTCAACAACCAGTCTAACTTGTTCTTATACTATAAAATTGGTTTTTTTATACTAAATTAATTGAAGTTTTATTTTAACGAAAACATACTTTGAAAAAACTCGTTCATTTTTTTTCGAAGAACGTATCGAACTCGTTTTATGCCATAAAATTGCGCTATTTTTTTTTATCTATGACTAATTCCAGTTTTATTTTAATTACTAATCTATAATTATAAATATGTGAAACATTTAGATTAAATAAAAATAAAAGTGAAGTTATAGTTTTAAAATGTAAATAAAAAATAAGAGTATAATATTAATTATAAAAATAAATGGGAAACATGTGGGACCATAAAAAGGAGGTTTATTATTATTGGAGGTTTATATATGTAGGAGTGAGAATAAGGTTTTGGATGATGTGGCATATTGGGAATAGAGAAAGGGGGTTTGTGTAGTAGTATTGTTATTAGAGATGCTCTAAGGTTAAAGAAAATGAAATTACTAAAGATTTATGTTAAAGGATAAATTACATATTTTTTGGACTAAAGCAGCTTTGCCATTTGGACCTACGTAAGTTTTATAACTACTAAATTCAGTGAGCAACATAGTGGAAAATGGCTAAAGTAATTTTTATATTTATATATATGTGTATATAAAACGCATAAGGATTTGTGTGTGTTTTTTTTTTTTAAATGTAAAAACTTTTTATTACAAAAACAAGATATTCAAATTTTAATGGTCCTTAATCATTAATGATTTTTTTTTCTACTTTGTATTTAGATACTATTAATTAAATATATCATTACTAATTATTTTCAAACTTAATGAAAAAAAAATGGGACCGTGTTTGGTAAAAAGCCCTTTGGACTATAACTATAAATTTGAACAAGATTTTACCTAGGGCTGTTAACGAATCGAACGTTCGCGAATATAAGTTCGTTCGTGTTCGACAAAAACTCGTTCATCTATTAATCGAGCCGAGTTCGAACAAAAATTAGGCTCGTTTAATAATCGAACGTTCACGACTCGATAATATTTGCGAACATTAATTTAATATAATTTTATTTTATTTTATTTATATATTTAAATAATAATTTTAATAAAAAATTAAAAATATAATTTTTTATTCGTGTTCGAAAGAACAAATTTCGAGTTAATCAAGTATATTTAAAAAGTTTATGTCCTAAATTATTCGAACACGAACGAACTCAAACTTTGACGAATAATTAAATGAACGAGCTCAAACACAATCTTTTGATCGAAAAATAAATAAACAAACACGAACAGTAGGTCCAAATCTTATATGAATGTGATTTCAAATCAACTTTAACTTATTATTCATCAACTCACATAATCTTATATGACTGTTACTTCACACAATTTATCTTACTTTTACATCAAATCAACTTTAATTATTTTGTTTCAAATATTATTTTGATATAAAATCAAATTCTCACTAATAACTAACCATACTACTTTACTTTAAAAAAAAAAAAATAGCTATGATTAACGAAAAAAACTCATTTTGAGCCGATATATTTGTATACAAACACGCAATTAATTGACCGGTGACTTTTACATATAACTAATGCCGTTTTATACGAATTATTTGGAATTAAATAATAATAATAAAAATTAATCTTTCTATAGTTAATATGACATTCATCATGAATTACTTATACTACATTATAATAAATATTATAATTCATAACAAATAGTGAACTCAATAGATAAATTTATTAGTAAATATCTAATTGTGTTATTTATCAATAAATACGGTAGATAATTTAATTGATACCCGCTAACAACCAAACAAAATCTATATAGTATATACTAATGCATGGTATTTAATTATTAAATAAAACATATATTGTATATCATACAAATATTTTTTATTTCATGTAATTTAGCTATATAAGTGTGTGTTAATAAAATATAAAATTCAGGTTAATACAAAGTCGGGTAATTTAGTTATTCCAATAAAAACTTATTTAATAACATTGAACTGACAATCTTTTGATAGCTTTTTATTCCACATTCATATAAAAATAAAAAATAATATCAATTATGTATATATTTTTATAAATTAAAAAATACTTAATAACTTGTAAAATACATTAATTAATAATTAAAAGATTTTCCAACTCAGACATGGGCAGTACAGATGGCTCCTATTAATTGGCTTTATAGTGTCACAGATGTCCAACATCACTTCTTCTTTTCTTCAACGCTCCCAAAAATATCATATATAAATTAGATTTTTTTTTTATTTATTTATCAATTTTAGCATAATTAGATCTGTGAAAAGCTCTTCTTCATTTTTCGCTGCTGGAGGTTCGTATAATCTCTTCGCTGTATTCCATTCGATGAAATTCGAGTATTTTCGCTGTATTTTTATCCTTCGCGTACGTTAACTTGAGCTATGTTTTGAAATTCGTTTTTCGTTGTTGGATTAATAAATATAATCGTTGAATTTATTGCTGTGTTTAACTTACTCGGAAATTATTGTAATGGAAAGGAGGTGGAATTATTTGGATATAACTCGCTCGGAACTTAGATCTGCTATGCTTGATATGGTTTCTGTACTTGATTGTTACTATATTGATTTTTCTGTTTTTGATTTCTCAAATTGCGATGAATCATTGCCGTTTTTCTAGTTTTTATGCTATTGGATTTGTTTCGATATTGCGGTTATTAAACCACTGCATTTCGTTTCTGTGAATTGTATTCATTTGTTGAAGTATCGGTGACCTGATTTATTTAAGCTCCTGTTTGCTGATCTACGTTGCTTTGACTGGTTTTGATGGCGATTACTGAGGTGCATGTTTTGATACAAGGGTTGGGTTTGATTTCACATGATGTAAGTTGTATTTATTGGAATATGATGATTTTTTTCTATTGATTGCTTGGATTTGTCGCATTCTATTCATTTATGTAGTAATGTTTTCGAGACTGAGATTGGCAGTTCAGTTCCCCTAGTACTTTGCGGGAATATGATGAGATCAAGTGATTGATTGGATTTACTGCATTGTTTTCATTTCTAAAGTCACTTGGAAACGATAGTCTTCATTGAATCATTGTTCATCATCCCGAGAGTTTATTTTTATGGTATGATGTGCAGTTTGAAATAGTTTAATCGAAGAAAAAATGGGAGGTGGGTTTAGAGTGCTTCATCTGGTTCGGCCCTTTCTTTCGTTCCTGCCTGAGGTTCAGAGTGCGGACAGGAAAGTTCCATTCAGAGAGAAGGTCATATACACTGTGATATCCCTATTCATTTTCCTGGTCTGTAGTCAGCTGCCGTTGTATGGAATACACTCCACGACTGGCGCAGATCCATTCTACTGGATGCGAGTTATTCTGGCTTCAAACAGGGGGACTGTGATGGAGCTTGGGATCACCCCAATCGTGACCTCTGGACTGGTTATGCAACTGTTGGCTGGTTCAAAAATCATTGAGGTTGATAACAATGTGCGAGAGGATCGTGCACTCCTGTAAGTGGATCAGGCTTATTTTGCTCATCATATATTTGATTAATTTTGTGAATTTAGTTGGTTCTTAATAAAGGGTCGGTGTCTGGCTGGTGATTTCTGTTGATTTTTTGAAGATGTTTGTTTGTTGCATGTGCTACAGTTGGCTTGCACCTTGGTGGTTTAACCTTGAAATTTTAAACATGGTTTAGCTAGAATTAGAGAAGGGAACCATTGTTCCTCAGATTTCCATTCACACTTGGTCTCTTTTTATTTCAAACTCTGCAAAGGGAGGATAGCCTAAATGCATTATTTAGCCTAAATGCAAAGGGATAATGCATTCCAACTTATGTTTGAATGTCTCAAAAGAGAACGTGTAATTTCCTTTTATATTTTGTTTTCTTATTGAAAATCTCTCTTGGGCAGGAATGGTGCACAGAAGTTGTTGGGCATCTTGATAGCGGTCGGTGAGGCTGTTGCATACGTCCTTTCAGGAATGTATGGCAGTGTCAGCCAACTCGGTGTTGGAAATGCAATCCTTATCATCCTGCAGCTCTGTTTTGCCGGCATTATTGTGATATGCCTCGATGAGCTTCTCCAGAAGGGATATGGTCTGGGCTCGGGTATTTCACTCTTTATTGCAACCAACATATGGTAAGTGGTGATAGTTTTAAGAACCCTGCATTTCATTTCTATCCATCAATGATGATTTTTTTACCTATTTGAGGGGCTCTTTTCTTATTTTATTTTATTTTTTATTTATTTATTTTTTTAACAGTGAAACCATAATCTGGAAAGCCTTTAGTCCCACCACCATCAACAGTGGCCGTGGAGCTGAATTTGAAGGAGCCGTTATTGCTTTGTTTCATTTGTTGATCACTCGGACAGACAAGGTTCGTGCTCTGCGGGAGGCATTCTACCGGCAGAATCTACCCAATGTTACGAACTTGCTTGCCACAGTCTTGGTCTTCCTCATTGTCATCTACTTCCAAGGGTTCCGTGTGGTTTTGCCTGTGAGATCAAAGAATGCCAGGGGGCAACAGGGCTCATACCCGATCAAGTTGTTCTACACTTCCAACATGCCCATTATTTTGCAGTCTGCTCTTGTTTCCAATCTGTACTTTATATCTCAGGTGAGCTGAACTACTCTGGTTATATGGACGAGTTGGGGAGAATCCTATCGGGTTTGACTGTTTAATTATTCGGTAACATCAATGGTCTGTTTGTATTTCTACAGCTGCTATACAGGAAATACAGTGGCAATTTTCTTGTGAACCTTCTGGGGAAGTGGAAAGAATCTGAATACTCTGGCGGATCAGTCCCTGTTGGGGGTCTTGCTTATTACATAACTGCACCATCCAGGTAATTGAGTTTATTTGCATGTTTTGGTTCTTTTATGATGAACATAACTTGTGTGTGTGTGTGTGTTTTTTTTTTTTCTAAATTTCTTTTGTGCATGGCTCACTTGAAGTGGTTAATGTTGTTTTGCAGTTTGTCTGATATACTGGCCAACCCTTTCCATGGACTATTTTATATTGTGTTTATGCTTTCGGCATGTGCTCTATTCTCAAAGACATGGATTGAAGTCTCAGGATCTTCAGCCAAAGATGTTGCCAAGCAGCTGAAGGTATGTTCTTGCATATTTTCTTGGTTCATTCTCCAGCTATTTTGTTTATGCATTCTTTGATTGGTTCTCTTTTGAGTCATTTTTCATGATACACCAATACCTATATTAATCTTGCTTTCGACATAGAAGTCAAAAGTGAGGCAATCTGAGGCGAGAATGCCTCATAGTACCTACTTTTCCTTTACTTAAATGTGTTACGTTTTATCTTTTTTCAGGAACAACAAATGGTGATGCCCGGACACAGAGAATCGAACTTACAGAAGGAGCTCAACCGCTACATTCCCACAGCTGCAGCTTTTGGCGGCATGTGCATTGGTGCACTCACTGTCTTGGCCGATCTTATGGGGGCAATTGGTTCTGGCACGGGTATTCTTTTGGCTGTAACAATCATTTATCAGTATTTCGAGACTTTCGAGAAGGAGAAGGCCAGTGAGCTTGGTTTCTTTGGTTTCTAAAGAAAAATCGTGCCTGGAAAAAAACTACGCATTTTTGGTTCATCTGAGGAATGTAAAGAAGAAAACCCCCGGGATTGGTAACTGCGGAAAGTTCCAAAAGTGGAAAGATTGTAGTGTTTTAGTTTTGTCATAGTCAGTTGTTGTCTTGTGCTTTTGTTTAATCATGCACTTTTAAGTGTTTTCTGAGATCGAGATTAGTGTTGAAACAAAAAAGCCACATAATTTTCTGCTAATTACATATGTTTTGCTACCCAATTTTCCAGTTTATTTTTTTTTTTCTTTTTATGTTTTATCTTTTATTGATTCCCATCATTGTTGATATTTTGATGCTACATATTCTTGGATTCGGTTCACTATAATAATAGTGGTGTACAGCGCTGAAAAGAACGAAAGCCTCGTGAAAAAGCTGCTAATTCAGTAATTTGTGAGACAATGAAGATCTTGTCCTTCAGCTAAAAATTTGATTCATTTTTTTTTTGGTCCCTGCAATTATAAGATGCATATATATCACTTTTTGGCAAATTGGTACCCGAAGAGTGTGTAATCTAACTATTCCAACCCGGTGTGAACCTTGCACACACACCGGGTCGAATCTTCCCACTTATTTGCAATAGCTTATTTTGTTCGCCTTTATTTGTGGGACTACTACATATTCACTTGAAGTCCCTGTTTTCATTTATGTGATGTGGATAGAGAATGTACCTTGTCTCAAAAGATGTTTGCCTATATATGACTACTATATTGTAACTAATATACAAAGTCATGGTAAAATAGGGCTAATTCAATCCTTTATGTACATGAATATTTTTATCATTGTATCAACACACATCCACATTCGTATAGGTATGTGTGTATATGTGATGATTCAACCGTAAAAATTTCGGTGATTCAAGTCAAAATACATTCTAAAATAGATAAAAGTTGAAGAAAGTAGAATAATTAAATAAACGAACCGCTCATGAGCTCGACTTGATTCGTTAGGGCTTGAATTCTTTAATTTACTGCTCAATTAGTTAATTGGCCGACCTTAGCTTAGTACGCTAAAATTCGAAAATATTTAGTTCGACTCGCTGATATTTATAAGCAAGCTGAGATAGAACTTTACAACCCTACTTTTGATTTAGAGTTATTGAAAATTTACAGAGCTCTAATTTGTAAAGCGTAATAATTGATAAAATTGATAATGAAAATACTACCTCTTGGCAATATCAAATTTGGAACTTTAATTGGTCAACCTCAACCTTTTTAACTATGTAACCCTTTTAACTATATAAGTTATAGTAAAAGTATAAAACAAAATCAAATTTCAACACAAACTCGTTTTACTTCATTTTTGCTTGTCAACTAAGTTTATACATGTCATATTTTTCCATCACCAAAATGTCAACCAAGACTTATGAACTTTCATATGATTAAAGTTTTACATAAATTTATAAAGTAATATTTACGAAACATTTCATTTAGATAAGATATGGTTTGTGGAATCTATTTAACCAAATTTTTAATATGAGATGAATCTAGAGTTGGGTGTTCAAAACTAATTCCATTGTCAAGACCAACCAAACAATAATCCACCCTTAAAATGGTAATTAAAATCTCCCTTTTATTTAGAACTTTGTTTGGTATATCAGTCTATTCCATATTTCCATCACATTTAGACCATCTCCAATGGTCTTTTCATTCTATTATTTTGTTGCCACATGGCACAAAAAATCTGATGTGACATGAAAAATGTTTAGAAGGCTTTCTAGATGTAGAAGTCCTTCTAAACAACTTCTATCATATATTATATTATTTATTCAATTTATCTCTCTTCTCCAACTAATTACATTTTTACACATCACAAATAATACCACAATTAACACTAACCATTAGAGACACAACTTTTTAATTTTCTTTCTCCATGTCCTACAACACAAAATGTAGAATTTTCCATTGGAGATGCTCTTAAGTAGTTTTTGATGGGGTCAGATATGCTCGTCATTAATAGTAACCCTAATGCCAAGTAATTGTACTGACCCCACAGTACATTAAAATAAAATTCATTGCCATGATATTTATATACTGGTGGTTTTGAATTCACCAAAATTTTGGTTAAAACTAATCATGTCAATTTCATCCATATTATTACACAAATTGTTGTGGAGAGCCCTCAAAGAATAAAGGGATGGACTTGTCATATTTTTCTTTAAAAACATACATTCTTTTATTTTAAGATGTCACATTTTTATTTATATTATTTTTTTTTATCTTTATACTACTTCCCCGTAACTATCAATCGAAAAATTGAAATAACATGTACTTCAGTTCAACATTATGCCGAAAGCGAGGCAACAAAAACGTTTGGCGTAAATTTTTGTATCTCAATGGACCCTTTACATTAAACAAACATCTTTACGGATGTATTTTCATAAATTCAAATATTTGTTTTTAGTTACATTTCTATAATATGACCATCAAAACAATACGTGAAAAAGATGTTGGATGAAAGAAAATAGAGCATTGTTGCTTTATGACTATCAGAATCTCTAAATTCTGATAAAAAATAATCAAAGATTAGGAAATTAATGTTATAATTGAATTGCACAAAAATCAACTCCATTAAATTGTCCCAACTCTATACTATGCGTAATTTATTGAAGATCAAACCTGCACACTCACATCTTGAATTTCCCGGTTTGTCATATATGCATAAAGAACTGAGATTTATTTCACATTCAAGCAATCTGCAATCGGATTCCTAATTGATCTCATTTTCCTATCAATTTTAAAAAGAATTAATTATATTTTTCAATTTAAACATTCCTTCATCGTGTATTTATATCTCATTTAATATATCTGTCCCGTAAAAAACAAATAAAGAAAAGAGATAATGGGCAATTAATTTATTAATCACGCAGCCCAAAAAAATGTCGATTTTTCCAAAGACTGATCGTCAAACCGCGTATTTCACACAAGTGCGAACTTACTATTATGCCCTCGCAAAGACAAAAGTTTCTTCCCCCAAAGTATGGATATCATTTCAAGACAACAGGACAAAACTGTCTGAATGTAAAAAAGCAGAATGAAAGGAATATTGTCCCATTCGGCTGTAATTTTTCTCCCCTCAAAACTTGTCACTCTGAAACTAAAAATGCATGTTTTTACTTTTTATTGTCAAATGTCTTATTCTTATTATTGTTTATGTCTCTAATAAAAGTATGTATAATTGTAGAGAAGAGAAGACTAATGGTTTTTCAACTAATAAGAATAGATTAAAATATATTAATGGTCAAGCATTCATATTTTTTAATATTATTATCTGTTTAAGTTTAAATGTCATATTTGAAAAATAATAATGCATATAAAAGTATGATATTTTATAACAGAAATATGTAAGTTCATAAAAATAAGTAGTAGTATAACATGAGTATCTGTTAATAGTTAGTGACCTATTTGAGAATTTGTGTTCCTTATTTAATATTTTATTTTTCATCTTTTAATTTTGCCTTGAGGTCAATTTCGTCTTTTGAGCTTCCCCATAGACCATCTTCTTCTCAGTAATCAGTTCTCACTCTATAACTCCCATTTTTGCTTCGTCAAGCCAAAAAGAAAGACCAATCCAACACATTTACAAGTTAAATAAAAAGTTTAATAAAAAAAGAGGATCATTTGGGATGAACCCTTAAAGGAATCTCTGTTTTTTTTCTTCCTTGTTTTGTTCTTCTCCTCTTTAGTATCAGAACAATCTCCATTAAAGGGCCCACTTACTGAAAAATTTCTTACCAGAAGGCTGAAAAAAAATAGAGACAAATTTTGTTCTGGTTAACGCCCGGCCTCAGATTGAACAAGAACGTTGAAGTTTCTATTACAAGGTAAGGGCGGTTGGTGTATTTTTTTCAGGGGTGGTTGAGAAAATTGAATTTTGTCCCCATTGACTGTATTTGGGTTCTCTTTTATTTACATATCTTGATAAAGAAGAGATTTTTAGTTGCGTTTGTTTCCAAAAACCACGCAAAGATTGGATTTTTTTTTAGTGTTGGACGATCTTTATGCCTTTCTTCTTCTTCTTCTTCGTTTAAAAATTCTAGCTTTTTTCTTACCAAAATTGCTCTCTTTGGGCACTTACATTTTTTAAGATTAACACATCTTCCAATGGAGTTAAATATTTTTTGTTTTATTTTTATGTAAAAAAATTTCAGGTCTGAGGAGATAAAACTGATGAAGGTGGTTTGTGGTTTACTTCCTGACAAGTGTGAAACATAAGCCTAAATCTGCAGCTCATCTGGAATAAAGCTTCCTAGGAAGGTAACTGTAAATTTCATTTTTTAGAATGTTTTCATTTTTATTTTTATTTTTTCATTTTACTTGGTGTTAAAAAGGAAATTTGCAAAAATGACACATTTTTTGTGTGTTAACATTCTGTAATCAAACAGATAAATGTTTCTGTATTCTCGAATTTCCTGTAAAAATCCAGAAATTTACCTAATTCTATTGGTCAAAGATTATATTTTTCTTTCTTTTTTCTTGTAAAACGTTCATGGTAAAGGAACTTCTTTGTGTTCTGTCCTCTCTGAGCATAAATGGCTGGTGAGCCCTTCAAACCCCTTGTCTACACATTTTTGTAGTCACGTGAGGTCCACGTGATCCAAGAATGATAATCTGGTTTCATTCTCACGTGATTGAATTATGTGTGGCCCGGATAAGTTGAAGAAATTGCTTTATTGGGCTGTGTGTGCTCATATATCCGTTGGATTGTAATTTTATACCTTGTGGCACGAGCTACACTGTATAGAGTTTACTGTTTCTAATAAAGCAGGGCTATATATGGGCTTGGGTGGAAATTACTGAATTAGACTGAGGTATGTAAATAGGATGGAAGATAATTTTTCAAAGCAATGTTAAAATTTATTCGAATATTTTGTTTCTGATACTTTTTTCTGTCGGGATGATTTGAAATGAAGATGATGAATCGTGTCTCCACAGCTTTAATGATATGATGTGTTTTCTCTGTATTAAATTTGAGGGGCACTTTAAATATTTTCTTTCTTGCAAAGAGGGTTAAGCTAACCAGTCAATTGTTTGATTACAAGGGATCAAGATTTTTTTTTTTGACTTGATTTTGTAGATGTTACTCTGATGGATATGCATTTGTTATAACGTGCCATGTCGGGTTAGATATCGAATATTAAGTGGGCAAGCTTAATTTTTTTTGTTCTTGAATTTAGGATATATATATATATATATATATATTCAGATCGTATTTGAATTGAAAGGGCGGCAAAAAAGTTCAATAATTATATATTCAAAGGTTTATATTAAGTTTAGCTGGTTTATAAAGTTGTGGGCTTTAAGAATACCGTATGTGTGTTCGTTTATCCTTTCCCCCGAACAATAGTTGCCACGTGGTTGTTATCAGCCGTTATCTACTTACCAAGTATGCACGGATATCACTATTATGGTTCAATCCAATAGTGTTCTGTGCATGAATTTTGATCACACGCCATTCATTTAGGCTTGTTTTACATTTAGGTTCAATGTTTCGGTTGGACCACAATAAATTGTATGTAGTTATTGCCTGTGCATTTTTTTTTTTCCCCAAAATGTGGGTCTCCATTGCCATTTTTGCCAATTATTGCAATATTTCTGATTATTTTCAAATCCATTTGAAAGCAATTTCAGCATTTTCAGTTTATGGCACTGTAAGCATTCTAACATCTCTTAACTGCTTTTGTTCTTACTCCTCTTTGGATAAACATGTGGGTGTGGCTGCTTTCGCGGGTTGATCCTTTTTTTGAATGTTCGCTTTAGGCAGAGAAATTTAGCTGCATTTCATATAACTCATCACCAAATTTTGGTGACTTGTTTTGACAAATTAATTATAATTAATGATTTTAAGGTTAGTTCCTACTAGTTTCACATTGTTAGTTGTTGTGAACAATGAACACAAAACAAATTTTCTCTCAGAGCTTATATTTGTTTTAAGGTTAGTTCCTAGTTGTTTCACATTGTTGGTTGTTGTGAACTAATGAACACAACAAATTTTGTCATAGCCTAAATTTTTTATTTATTTGTTAATTTGTTCCCTTTGTCCTAATATGCCTAGGAATTCTGCTTGCTGGTGCTCTGTTCTTATATTCAATTATAATAGCTTCATATAATTATCACCCGTGTTATATACTAAAAAGAGATTCGGTCGAATATTTTTAATCCAGATATTGCTTTAACTAGCTGTCTTGTGAATACATTATGTGATCAATCCCAATACTTTGTTTATCTTCGATCCATCTTTTTATATGCATCAAAACTTTGGTAGGGTATGAAGTTGTATTATTTTAAGGTCAAAGATCAACTTGGGAAGAAATATTAGAATAATAGCAAGCAGAATATTATTATTACCTAACTTCTTCAAATAATAAATTGTTGAGTCCACCATCATTAAATCCATCATGGGATGCACTATTTTTATATGCATTTGCAGAGCTTTTGAATCTTCAAGGCTCAAAGCTGCGTGTGTGTTCATAGATCTGTTCATGCACTGTCTTTTCTTTTCATACTTTATTTCGTCCATTAGCGTGTCCTTTTCTTAAAGCTCGTCCATTTATGCCTTTAAAGGCGTCGACATTCGAAACCTATGTATATATATATTTTTTTTTCAAGAAAGAGTGAATAATATATACTTCTTTTCTTTTTAAATCTAATGTTCAACCTCTTTCATGACATTTGATCATCATTGTCATTTTTTTTTTTTTTGTAAATTTTATATTTTTTTCCTTGAGATTTATTGTTTTCTTGGTTCAGATGGATACAGTTAAACAGCGGTCATCGATCACCCCAACTAAGAGCCGTTTGGCTCGCACATTCTCAAAGGTCCTTAACATTCAAGCCCAAAAGGCAAAATCTCGAGAAAAACCAAAAAGGGATCGTCAATCCAAACACGCCGAGACTCCCTCACTCGATGCCGAAAGTGATGAGAAGATAAAAGACCGATTAATCAACGAAGCTTTTCTCGCGAAGCTCTTCGCCAGCCTGTCTTCCATTAAGGCCGCTTACGCGCAAATGCAGTTCGCCGAATCCCCTTACGATGCGGATCGAATCCAATCCTCGGATCAAACGATAGTCTCCGAGCTGACAAATCTCTCCGAATTAAAACAATGCTACTCGAAAAATCTGATAAAAAACGAGACCTCCTCGCCCGAGAAAACTTTGGTCTTAGCCGAGATTCAAGAGCAGAGGAGCCTTCTCAAGACGTACGAGGTCACGATCAAGAAGCTCGATTTTCAGCTCAAGCTCAAGGACTCGGAGCTCACTTTCCTTCACGAGAAATTATCCGAAGCTAAGAGCGAAAACAAATTGTTATTGGAGAGGAAACTAAAATCGAGCGCTCATTCAGAACTAAAGAAGACTAGCGATTTTACCACGCACCATCGGCAGGCGATAAAATCCATTCGGGCCTTTGTTCGGGTGCTCGTGCGTGAAATGGAGCTCGCGGGCTGGGATTTGGACTCGGCCGCCAGCTGGATCGAGCCCGGGATCTCGTTCTGGAGGCGGGCCCACAAGTGCTTCGCTTTCGAGTCGTACGTTTGCCGGCATATGTTCGATGGGTTCGGAAAAGGCAGCAATAATTCGAAGTTTGCTTCGTTTTGCCGGGAAAAGTATTTGAAGCTCGTGCACCTGAGAATGGAGGCGTCGATTTTCGGGAATTTGGAGCAGAGGGAGCTCGTGGGGTCTGGGCGGGGTTTTCCCGAGACGGGTTTTTTCTCGGCGTTTTGCCAGATGGCGAAATGTGTGTGGTTCTTGAAGTGTTTGGCCTCGAGTTTCGAGCCGGAGGTTACGGTTTTTCGGGTGGCGAAGGGGGCTCGGTTTTCGGAGGTTTATATGGAGAGTTTGAGTGATGAGGCTTTCTTGGTGTCGGGTTCGGGTGGGTCGGAAGGGTATCCTCGGGTGGCGTTCACGGTGGTTCCCGGGTTTCGGGTCGGAAAGACGGTGGTTCAGAGTCAGGTGTATTTGTACTGAACTTCCTGNCAGTAGTATTGGTCTCTTATTGGAGGAATTGTGTAGTGTATTCTCCTTTTTTATTTTTTATTTTATTTTTTAAATTTATGCTTTTGGAAAGTGGCTTTGGGATCATTGGATGTGTTAATTTAATTATATATATACATTGTAAGAATGGGTCTACTACTATTTTCTTTTTGTATGTGATGTATAAAGAGATGTTTAAAGCTTCTAGCTAGATATTTGAGTATATTTATTAATTTTTATTTTTATTTTTTGGAATCTAGACATTGGATTTAAATAAAAGAACAATAAATAATTGAGATGTCTTTATGTACTTGGTATCTTTCATTTTTTTTTACTTGACAACCACAATTACCTTGCAAAATTTTCGGAAATATTTTCAATAAATTATGGTTTGTACTATTTTAACTGTAATATGGTTGAGTGAGTTTGCTTGAACCTCAGTTCGCTCAAATAGCCGAACTCGAGCTCGAGCTCATTTAAGGTTCATAAAGCTTGAAAATAAGAATTTTTACGTACTTTATTAAACTTTTAGCATAAAATAAGTCGAACTTAAGTTCGCTTAGTAGCTCGTTAACTTAACGAGCTTGACTCGATAAGGGTTCGAGCCCAAGGCCTCTATCTATATATATTAATATAAATAATAGTATGCCAAAGCTTTTAAATAACATGTATATATAATAAGCATTGTAAATGCTTCAAGAATATAATTCAATTATTAATTACCGGCACCAGGACTTGGGACAGACTCAAATGCGACTATACATACCAACATTTGCCCGAATTGGTACTTTACAAGCTTCATAACATGAGCTTGAGCTAGAAATATTATAGCTGCAACAAATAGAGCAATAACAAAGTGCTTGAATGAACCATTTTCCCAAAATCAAATATGGTTTAAGGAAATATAAAGAGAAATTGAAGTTGGAAAGAGAATGTAGAAATTGTAATGTATGTATTGAATGCAAAAATAATGTGTAGTGATTTTAGTGAATGAACCAGATTTATTATCGTTAGATAAGTATCATTTATATGAGTGTGTGTTGATCCAACGATTAAAAACCAACTGCAGTCACCAATAGGATTTGAATTAGTATTCAATCTCTTTAGTTTTTGAATCAAAATATGTATCATTTCAAAATTAATTAAATCAAATCCCTTGATTACTAATCAAGAACGCATGGTAATTAAAACATTTCAAAACCTATGTCTTTGTGATGATGTGGTAATGGTTACCTTGTTCATCGATTTTTTTCATCTTTATTGTAATTTGTAAGAACATATACTGTTCAGATACTGTTTTTCTTGTAAGTTTAGCATGAAAAACAAATTGATTAAAAAGTTTTATTCATTACATTGGAAAAGCATGCAGACTTTAGACATACAAGGGGCCGAAACACAACAATAACAACATCCTTTATTTGACAAACGAACTTATAACGAAGTTATTAGGCCAGGAAAAGCTTTACTGGGCCTTGAAAGGGCATTTTGTGTCAGATGGAGCAACAGAACCCTGCCCAGTAACAGAAGGCCCTTTAAGCAGCCCAGCAAATAGCTCTGCTGGATCATAGTAAATCTCCACATCCTCAGCCCTCAGGGACTCATCCACCTGCCAAAATTTTGAAACCAACATTATTACAAATCATTATCTACAAAAATTAAATGTTATTATTATACATATTATTATCAATTAAATGCTCCTATTACTTTGAGAACCCCAACACCATAAAACTGGACCAATTCCCCAGTTGGGCCATGGCCCTTGAAAGGCCCTTCAAAATAGCCCCAATGCCTGAATTTGAAGGCAATCACAGGCGGGCCAGAGTACACGGCCACCACTTCCCATGCAAACCCACGAGGAAGGGCCGACCGAAAAAGGTCGTGTGATGACTCGAAACTCTCCTCATCGGCTTTATAGTACTTGAATTCATCGGGCATCGAGCTTTTTAACAACGCGTTGTAGCTTCCGAGCCTAAGTGTTTCTTCGGCTGATAGTCCCTTACGTCCTGATTTGTGTTATGAAAATTATCTTAATAAGGATATAGTCACATCAAACAGTAATTTTTATTGGTCATGATTCTTTTATTTTTTTTTAAATATTCTATTGTTTTTTTCAGACGTTTGAATATGAATAATAGTATTGGTTTTATCATTTTGTGACCAATTTAATTTTGGTCATAATTGTGGACCTTAGCATGAGATATTATAGAGTATACTGTGAAGTAGTATGTTATGTCATTGTCTATTAATAACGATGTATGTCTGACTTTGATGAGTTCATGCTCATGACTTTTAGTTTGAGACTTGCTAGGATGGGAATTTGTTGAAGATAAATACAAGTACCGATATTTGAGCCCACATTAAGTTAACGAGACGTTAAATAAATTCGAGTTTAACTTGTTAACGAGCACAAATTTAACCTAAACAATCTAAATTATACTAAAATTTAGAAAATCATGTAAAAAAGTCTATTTATCAAAATTGGCTCGACTCGTCAACTAAAGGAATGCTAAACCAGTTGGAGTTTAGCTCGTTTATCAAACGCGATTGGCCGAGAGCTCAATCCTCACCAAGTCAAGCATTGTAACAACTATAGTATATGGTCTTCTAATAAATTATTTGTTTTTCTTGGTTTCATTTCTGCAAGTCACTGACGAAATCATTAAGACTGACATTTTAGTTATATGATATAATATAATATTCAAATCAGGACTGGATATACATTGAGTCGTTAGACTGCATTTTTAATTCGGTGGTAGACATTGAATAATAATTAAGATCAATGTCTACTTGATTGTCCAAAGCTATACGACCTTATTGGCCAACCCCGTTGATTACCTTGAACCAATCTCTACGACTTATTCCTATTTGTCAACTAATAAACCTAATATAAAATGAAAAAAAAATAATAATTTTTTTTTTAAAAATATGCATATGTTCATATTGAAAATAATCAAAAATTCTATGGAGCCATCGAATGGTTTTCTTATGAAGCCCTCCATCACTTAATGTATTGACACATGTCCAAAGTGTATTTATTGCAAGACAAGTGTCAATACACTATTTGTGAATAACTGTGGATGGCTCCAAAAGCCGAGCCATCCGACGGCTCCATAACAAAACTGTAGAAATAATATGCACAAGTCAGTTAGATTACTGACGTAATGTTAGACAAACGTAATGGCTAGACAATTTATATTTTTAATTAATATATGTATATTTTCAAACTAAAAGGCCTAAGCTAAAAAAAATTAAAAATAAACAAAAGTATGATACTTTATTAATTATCATTTTTTTACAAGTATAACAGGCCTGTCCGATTAACTGTTAGTTCGTTTCATTTTACAGAAGAAATTGTGCAAAAATATTTATCTCGATCTGATTTGGGCGTTCGATCAGATCTCTTGATGTCGTTAGACAGATCTCACATTTAGTAATTTAGAAAGATAACTTAAATAGAAAGAACACAAATTCATGTTTGAAATAATTTAATAGTTAGGCAAACCGTCGTACTTCTCAAATGTTTGTATGTCTCAAAGTTTGTATGTCTATTCATACGTATGACGATAAAGTCTGCCTAGTCACTAAAAGAAATACTTAATCGTCTTGAAATTTTGATTAATATATCCATAGTCAATTGATAAATTAACTACATATATATATATAATTACCATTAACGATAAACTAAAAAAAATACTTAATCGTCTTGAAATTTTGATTATTCCATAGTCAATTGATAAATTAACTATATATATATAATTACCATTAACGACAAGCTTGAATTTTTCAGGACTTATGGTCCTGAAATCTTGAATACGGGTCTTGTGGGACAGCTCCATCTCCCATGACTTGATAGCATTTTGAACCACCTCTTCTAAAGACCCTTTAGGCCACTCCTTATACAACCAAAAAATAAAAATAAAAAATAACCAAAATAATTTAAAAACCAATAATATATCAAGAAAACAAAAATAAAGACATATATCGAAAAATTTTATCCTACCGGTAATTACAGTGTAGTCATCGAGTTTATTTACTGTTAGATCAACACACATCTGTATTTATGTGTTTAATCCAATAATAAAAAAAACTTAGTAATTAATAATTAACTACTAACAGTAGAAATTGTACCTTGGTCCGGCCTTCCTCGAACAGTTGGTTAACGGAGTCATATGTGGGCGGGCCGCCGTGTCTCCAAACGGTGTTTTTGGACTCTTCATGTAAGAAAGACCTGTACTTATCAGCTGCCTTTTGAACTGAGCTTTTTTCTTCTATGCTCATCTTCAAATTCTACCCTTTTTTTTTTTTTGGTGGTTCTATTCTATCTCTATTTGTTGTTTGATAAATTTTGGTTTGTGATTTGTGAGGTTTGTGTTTTGATGGGGATATGTATATATATAGGCAAAGAGTAGTGTTTTGATGACCGTGTTTGCCATTTATGACTTTAGCTTTGTGTAGATGGCAGTATAAGGTGTTACTTGTCATTTCAAACAATTCTTTTTTTTGTTAATTAATTAACATAGATATGATATATCTATCTAGACCTACTATTAGAAGAACCGAGCTGCTCGTAAGTTGAGATTTGGTCATTTAGTTAACAAGTTGAACTCAACTCAACTCGTTTAAGTTCGTACACGTAATTTTTTGAACTATCACTTTAACTAGCTTGGCTCGTCAGAGCTCGAATTTAACTCATTAATTTCAACAAACAAGTGGAACCCAAATTCGTTTATTGACACCCTATTAGTTCATGAGTCCGAGCTCGAGCTCGAGTACCAGGAATTTGAACTCGATTTAGCTTTTTTACAACTTTTTCAATACTCTTACATACATGGGGTATGTATACAAAAGTTATTACATTTGATTCGCACGACAAATAAATTTTACTAACAATTCATTAATAATTGATTTTAAAAAGATTTACGGTCTTTAATTTAAGAATAAAAGTGATGTACGTTTAATTTAAATTGTGAGTAATTAGAGTTGTGAGAGCAAAAAAATAAACTATTTTTTTTCTTTTTACATATGGCTATTATGTAATTTAATTCATCAATGGAATACACAAGTTGGTAATTAGATCATTATTTAGAGGGATTGGTTTGTGTATTTAGTCAAACTATCGGACCAGGTCCATTTTATAATCTGCTAATCATGATATTAATAGTAGGGCTTTAGAAATGAATCTAATTCCGCCATTAGCTAGTGATTATTCTATATGACTATTTTTTCTTACAAAGGTAAACAGTAATACAGAAAATTAAATGTTAATGTTGAATTATGAAAATAGATTGAATTTGAATGTTGACTACATATCTACAGTATAAGGTGCTATATTAATTAATTAACACGCCACCTTGACATACTTTTTTTTCAGAAGGTATTCTTGTAAATATTTATTATAATAATAACTATTAAATTATTAATACATTCTCATAAATGGATATATATATATACATACTATTGTTAGTAATCATCTTATCTAATTTAATTATCATATTTAATATTTTTATCTTTTAATAATTTTATCTTTTATAGTACTATAATTTGCATTTCTTTTTTCTTTAGTAAAACTATTGTAGGTACTTGGTCCCAGCATTAAACGCAATGACACACTTGTTTAGGCGTTTGCCAAGCTAAAAATAGCAATGCTACCCATAAACTATTATGATTTATGAGGATTATTCATCTTTTCTTGCCTAAAAAAAGGAATAAAATCGAAGGTATATAAATTAGAAACGAGTGAACTGAGTTGATATAATATGCATTATGAGATTGCTTGTTAAATATGACTATTATATTAATAGTTATTCGAGTTCGTTTAATATCTGTGTCCGACTAACTTGGGGTTTATATATTCAAATTGCTCGAGCTCCAATGGAAATTAAGATTAAATATGTTCTTTTTAAGCATGAGTTTTTGCACTCGTTGCCCTTTTTCCGCGCTCGTATAAACTTTCTTAGTTTTCTGCAACAACTTCTGAAAAATGCCTATAGCCATTGTTCGCTCTCTTTCTGAGTATTGTGCGTTGTTTTTGTTTCACGTTTTAATGATAGGAGGGACATGAAATGATGAAATCAATGAAGCAGCATTCTTGGGAGCTCCTTCGTGCTGTGGTTTCAACATTTGAGGCAACAGTTTTTTTTTTTTACTTGGTAAATTCTGAACAAACTTTGTGTTGAACTTGAAACAACTCAGATACGAACTGATTTTGGTTGGTTATGGATAGAGATATAAATAAACCCAGCTCAAGCTCAAACCTTTTGGTTGGTTATAGATAGAGATATAAATAAACCTAGCTCAAGCTCAAACCTTCATCATGAAAACTGTTGATGAATGAGCTAGGGGGTGTATTTAATTAGGATTTTTAAGGACTTTTTAAGACTTTAGAAATCCTGGTGTATTCAATTTAGATTTGTTAAGATTTTTTAAAACTTTTAAAAATCCTGGGGTATTCAATTGGGATTTTCAAAAGTCTTACAAAATCCTGAAGTATTTAATTTTTTTGACACTAGGATTTATTAAGACTTTTTAAGATTTTGTGGGATTTCTAAACAAAAAACTTTATATGAAATCCTACCTCCGGACTTGAAATTTCATAAAATTCTTCCAAAATCTGAAAATCCTAGAAAGTCTCAAATCTCGAAAAGTCTTAAAATGTCACTTAAATTCCGAATTGAATACACCCCCCTAATAAAATGAACTCGAATTCAACTCATTATCAATATTTACGAGTCGAGTCAAGTTGATCTCGAGCCTTAACGATATGAGCTGTAAAAAATTACATAAACATTTCTATTTTTGTGAACTAAATGAGTTTAATATCAGCTAGTTTATCATTTTATTTAACAGTATATATATACATTTTATATATTTAACAGTATATATCAACTAATAAGATGAGCTCCCGAATGAATCATTTTATTTAACAGTGTATATATATATATATTCCTCTATGTTTGATCCTAAAGTCACGTACTTTGTTTTTCAAGAAAATGAAAGAATAATTTGTAAAATATGGCTGATTGAAAATGAAACGTATGACATTTCACATTCATTATGTTTCTGAAAAGATATCCACATGATCTACTCAAATTTTAATAACAACTTATAGACTATCTAATTTACACACACAACTACACATATGTTCCCAAATATATCTATTTCTAAAACAAAGGCACGACGTATCCTTCTCTTTGAACTCAACACCCTCAAGAAACAGTTTACCCATAATTTATCAT